AATTCTGCTGTGGCTGTCTTAACTCTGTCAGAAGATTTTAGATCATAAGAAATGGGGCTTATCCGATGTTTCTGTTCCTGTTGTAATTTTTTAGAATATTCTCGAGGATTATCCTCAAAATAAGAGGATTTGCCTTATCTATTGTCTAAAAACATGGTTCTCTGGGACATTGGTGCAATTGCAAAGATCCTGGAGTTTAAATTCATCCATTATTTCTAACTCTGCTATTTTTGAGTTGCCTATTCAAATTAGTTTATGAGTTAGCTGTGGTTCTCTTTGGTTTTATGATTCTGACATGTGTTCCCTCTGTTCTCACCCTCTTGAGAGCTTTTATATTCAGCAAATGTCATAATTTGCTACAGGGCTTTTTATGTATATATTGATATGATAATTTTTCCTCTCTCATTTGTATCTCCATCTTCGGGGTCTTCCATTGATTAGTTTGTAAGTGCTGAAAGAGTCTTGTGTTCTGATGTGAATGCAGCTGTCCCTCTATTTCCATGGGATTAGAGGCCTTCTCTGTGTCTGTGTACATCCTGGCAACTAGTCAGTGATTTTTTCTTTGCATATAATGGTTTGAATTCCCCTACTTTGGTAATTGAGAAAAAGCCAGCTTTGTATGATCACTTTCTATTGTTCCTCTTCTTTGCGTTTTAGGCAATATTCTCTTTTTGACATCAGGATAAGGTTTGTCTAAGGAAAGGAGAATTCCATGCAAGTCTATCCAGTCCTCAGACACAGTTAGAAGAAATTCTTCCTGCTTCAGTCTCAGCACTTGTTTGATGCATATTCTAGTAATATACTATAGGAGGTTGGTTTGTTCATATTTTCGAGGAACTCATCATTTCTTGTTCACTTCTGATTTATTCTTACATGACTTTCCACAGCACTGCGTAATGTAGCACTGACGTCATTGTCATACATTGCAGCGCTGCCTTTATATCTCTGTGCAATATCCTCTGTGCAAGATTATTATAGGTCTTTCTAAGAGAATTGTAGAATTCATTGCTCAGTCTGTCCAGCCCTCAAACACTGTTAGTTGAGACAGTGTGTCAGCACTTGCTCATAACCTGGCCTAGTTTTAAGACATAAAATGTTGATATTCACTTGTTTCTAGTAATATCATCCTTTTCTTGTTCATTTCTCATTAATTTTGTACAACTTTGCACACCATGCCATCCCTCTGCTATTTCCTATTATCACATTAAACTACCTACACAGTGGAGAGAAAGAGATTAATGTCTGGAAAATCATTTGATATGAGAGAAACATAAGGTCAATATAATACATTAAAAGAGTGGCATATATGCTATTATTGTGGTCATGACGACTTTGTGTAGTAATACTATTTCAACATACAGAGTAAGTTCTTATTTTTTGAGACATACATAAAATATGTATATATGTATGTATTTTTACATATATTTGTATTCCTGTGGGTAAATGTACATGTATAAGTTTATATAACAAGAGACCTGTGTCACACATTATACTTTCATGAGAAATTTTAAGGATCATTATCATCATAAAGAAAATCCATAGCAGCCTGGAACTGAGCGGTGTCACTTGAGGAATATTTACTAATAATTTGGAACCTGAGAACTGCCTGGAACAACCCCAAAACACAGATCTATGCATGTTCAGGAAAATGTTTCCAACAGTGGTAGAATTTTTGTGGATCTGACATAATGTGTGAATCATCCAAAAAACATACCCTGAAATGATTTACTTTATCTCTATACATATTCTTTTATGAGTAACAGAGTTTCTGCCATGCCTGCCTCTTGATGATTTTGCCTTGGCATTGCCTAGAACAACTATCCTGTGTGTCTGTGGGGCGGCGGTGGTCAGTTGACCCTTTCACAGGGGTCACGTAAGTCTACCATAAATCATATATTTCTGATGGTCTTAGGAACTGATACACCACTCCTCTTTCAATCTACAGGTGGGCCTGCCACATGTACATACATTAACTCAGGAGTTCCTTGTACTGTATTAAAAGATTTCAGCATTAGAAAGACGTAGAACCTCTGGCTTAGAACATTTAGCACATGGACATGCCATTTAAAGACAGGTGTGCCTTGAATTGTAATATTCTCCTTATAAATGGGTTCACGTGAATTTTAGTGGTCAATATTCTCCCAGAAAGGTATGCATGCAACATAGAAAAGAAATTCTCATTGAAAGGAAGAGTAGTTGGAAAGATACAATTTACCTCAGAAACGAAGTAAAGCCTTCTTAGATGATGATGGAAATGGGACTTGATGATGATTTATCAATTTGAGCAAATTATGATATTTGACAGGTAGAATCTGTGTGTGTACAAGACAACAGGACACACATGGAAAAGACATGTACTGTATCTGCCTGATAGAATGAAATGAAACATGACAGAAGGTTCAGATATTGTATTGTAGTGTGATAGGTAATGAACTTTATTTAATGCTAGGCATCCATCTTAGGGCCCCACTAGCCATTTGCCTCTGACTCTAGTTCTTGAATCTTACATTCCCAGTAATAACCCTGAGTAGTAGTTTTTTTACAGCTGGTATACATATACTTTATATCTGTGCCTGGTACCTGCTAAGGTTTGAAAAAGGCCACAGATTGTAATAGTTTTTCTTGCCACATTAAATATACCATTCCATGCTCTCCTGTCTGTAGGAATGTTGTCAAGTTTACTGGTATAATTTTCCTTCTTATGTGTTGTTATTTGGTTTAGCATTGTTCATAACATTGCTATATTTATTTTAGCTTTTAATTTTTCGGAGAAGAGTAACAAGAAGAATGAATGCTTCTCTCATAAATACTCCTCAGGTTAGTGCCCTTTCCACATTTCTTTGAAATTCCTATTAGTATTTAAACCATTTGAGACCTTAGTTCTCTACCTCTGGTAATGTTATCTAAAGTGTTTCGTTTCTGTAATTTATCTTTGTTCTTTTCAATGATCAAAATTGAGCCTTTAGATCTTTCACTTCAAAAGGGACAAGCACAGCCTTGTGCCTATTGTATTTTCACTGGATTTTATACAGTGAGGACATAAATTTCTGAGGCCTCAAGGCCTTCAGGTCTGAAAGAGAATCTACTGCAAATGATTCTCTGTGAATATAATGATAGCTAATTTCTACATTGGATAAACTTGTGCCCTTTTATATTAGTGGGGAACGAAAGTCTCACGTGCTACATGAATGCTGTTTCAGGAATGGTCAGGTTTCTAGAAACAAGCTTGTGGATGTGGATAGGCAAATATATGGAAGAGTAGAGTTTATGGGAAAGTAGAATTAGAATACAACCACTGTGTTGAGTCCTAATAGTAAATATTTCAGCTCTGTAGAGGCACAGATGATGGAAGGAATATGTGACTCTCTCTTGCCATAAAATCGATGTGTTTTTAGAGGATACAGATTGTAGTATTCTGGTATCTCTTTTTGGCGTTTTGTGTCACACAGTAATCATGTGTGTGTTGACACATGAAATCTATTTGTCTCTGGAGAGTCTGACCAGTCCTCAGTGTGGTAAGTTCTCAATATAGAGATGATTATTTTCTATTTCTCCTTTGTTTCATTTTTTAGAAGTAGTGTAAACACTACTGTGTGTACCTTTTTATTGAAGCACATAGAATGTATTAGTAAGATTTTTCTGGAGAGTATTGCCTTGGTACTTTGTATAAGCCATGAAATTTCAACCATTACTGAATGTCCCTCTTAATTCTTCTCTTCTCTTTAATGGAAAGAATGTCCCATCCTTCGTATGTTTTATTTTTTTTTCTCTCTCTCTTCCAAGTTATATGTTACATAGGGGAAAAAATCTGAAGGGTTGTGGTGCTGTTTTTTTACAATAATATTCTTTGTTTGTTTGTTTGTTTGTTTTTTTGGAGACATTCAGAAAAATGTAAATAATTTTAATGTTCTCTCTAATTCTGTTTTTCTTTTATATATCTTAGTCTTGTGAGTATAGTCTCATAAAACATCTTTATAAAGTACTTTATTCTCTGGTCCTTTGGAATATTGAATGTGTTCACTGACATTACCCTTTTTTTCTGTTTAAAGAAAAATTGTGGTTCTTAATTCATCCAACAATTCTGCGTTTCACTTTCTACGTCTTTGCTCTAGTAAGGGTACAGCATTGTACCTAGGTCTCAGGATATCGACTGAGAATTTTAGAGTAGAGTCAGGTGAGACCCAGCTGCAGACAGGATTGATATAATGTCCATGGTTGAGCAAGGCTGACAGGTGTAGAATTTAGAAGCACAGTTTTACTCATTGTAATTTAACCATCTGTGATGTGTCACTGGGATTCTGGTTGATAACAACCCTGTAATTCATAATGGTACATTCGAGCATCTAGATCTCATATGTTATATTCACTAAAAGTTTGCTATTTATGATTCCATTATGTAATCCTATTTCAGAGAATAGGAAAATACAATAAAGACTAAGACTATGGTAGGTAACATCCTTTACTAAATTAAATTTCAGTTTTCTTTTATGTACATTTGCCTGAAAGTATGCATATGTGCTGTATATTCCTCCAGCCTTTATGTTCAGAAGAGAGCATTAGATTTTAAAGGATTGGAAGTAAACATCTGCTGTGTAGTTCATGTGGGTCCTGGGAAACAGTTTAGGATCATAGAATCCAACCTGCACACAAGTTTTCAAATGCAGAGATGGTGGCATATTCATCTGTTGAAAATTCATGTAACAGAGAGACCTTAGGAATGTACTCATGTCATTCTCTGCATTGTCTGATAAGAGCAGCAATGCTTAACATCTGACGCATTTCTATAGCACTTCTAGAAGATGCTGTTTGTCCTTGAATATTTCCCATGACTCATATTGATCACAACGTGACCCTTATTCTTTAGGTCTGTTTCATCTAGGAAAATTCTTTTGTCCAGCAGCACATGATAAACAGGTAATTTTCTATTACAGGGTCAGTTAACATTCAAGGATGTGGCTGTGGACTTCTCACAGGAGGAATGGGAAAGTCTTGACCATGCTCAGAGGGCATTGTACATGGATGTGATGTTGGAGAATTACAACAATCTGCTTTTTGTGGGTAAGACTAGCCTTATTGTAAGATTCCTGATTCATTCTTTGATTTTACCTACTGTGTGTATATCAACTCTCTGACATGTCTAGAGACTCCTAGAATAAGGGAAATTCAGGATACCAACATAAGTTATTCATTATGCTTCCTTTATATTTCTCTCCACTCTTTAGAAGAGGATCCAGTATTGTATTCTGTGTAATCTCTCAAAACATTGTATCTGCTTTAATCAAAAGTTCAATGTTCAAAAAAATCTGAATATTTAGAGTAAGAGAATATATTGCGACTCCTGTAATAAGGGAGTATTCTAATTTTAATGTTGCATTTCAGTCTTCAGTTGTTTATGAATTTTAAAAGTGCAGAAGTTTCTAAATAGAAAAAGAGCTGTTGGTTGTGAAAATTTTATTGTTCCTTATTTATTTGGTTTTTGATCTTTGGCTTCCATGTTTGATTTTGGTACAGCATGGCTTCTGTATCATGAGTTCCATGCCAGGGTAGATTACATAATCAATTCCTTGCTGACCAAAGCTACACTATGTTACTCTGTCACAAAACATAAAAAAGAAAATCGAGAAACTTTTTTTTGACTCGATCCTTCAGAGAGCTGCTTTCTCAAAGTCCTGTACTGTTCCATTACCTATTCTTTTCACATTCTGCAAAGCACAGTGTTTAAATAAGATATAGAAGGCTATAGTTTCATGTCATTTCATATAGATGAGATTTCAGGTTGTTCTAAGCATCCATGTTATGATTGTGAAACAGGAAAGACCATTTTTGAGAGCTCTATCTTTGAGATCACTAATTTACATTAGAAAATTTCAGGGAATGTGGTGGTGTATTGTCTTACTCGTCTACTAATCCCTGTCATATCTAATTGCTTTTTTTTTTCAGAGAGTCATGGCATGTGTCATAAATATGAGAACATCTTAGATCAAGACCTACAGTATATTGTTCACGAGCATGTGAATATCCAAGTGAAGTCTTATAAATGTCATGAGCTTGTTAAAATCATTGATGAATCTACCCAAAGTACAGTTTATAAACCTAACCTCAGGGATACACCTGTTGAATCATCAAACCCAAGCAGGCTTCAAACTGGAAACAACAGAGAACCTTGCAAATATAAAAAACCTGCAAACTGTTTAAATTCCTGGTCTACCATCAGTTTACCTCAGGGAATCCACAGAGGAAAGAAAGAATACAGTGGTACAGAGCTTGATAAGGATTTTGACTGTAAAGAAAAACTCACGCTGGAACAAACGAATAATAAAAAGAAACGTTACAAATGTAGTGAATGTGACAAATGTTTTACCACGAAAGACTATGTTAGGGTTCATCAGCGAATTCATTCAGGAGAGAAACCTTACAAATGTAGTGAATGTGACAAATGCTTCACTGACAAAGGCTATCTTAGAATTCATCAGCGAATTCATACAGGAGAGAAACCTTATAAATGTAGTGAATGTGACAAATGCTTCACCTACAAAGGCTATCTTAGAATTCATCAGCGAATTCATACAGGAGAGAAACCTTATAAATGTAGTGAATGTGACAAATGCTTCACTGACAAAAACTATTTTAGAATTCATCAGCGAATTCATACAGGAGAGAAACCTTACAAATGTAGTGAATGTGACAAATGCTTCACCGACAAAGGCTATTTTAGAAGTCATCTGCGAATTCATACAGGAGAGAAACCTTACAAATGTAGTGAATGTGACAAATGCTTCACCAACAAATGCCATCTTATAAGTCACCAGCGAATTCATACCGGAGAGAAACCTTACAAATGTAGTGAATGTAACAAATGCTTCACCAACAAAAGCCATCTTAGAAGACATCAGAGACTTCATACAGGAGAGAAACCTTACAAATATAGTGAAGGTGACAAATGCTTCTCCCAAGTTGGTGGTGTTAGCAGACATCTGAAAATTCATAGAGGAGAAAAACCATATAAATGCAGTGAATGTGACAAATGCTTTCGCTACAAAAGTGCCCTTAGAAATCATCAGATTATCCACACAGGAGAGAAACCATACAAATGTAGTGAATGTGATAAATGCTTTACCTACAAAGCCAGTCTTAAAATTCATCAGAGAATTCATACAGGAGAAAAACCTTACAAATGTAGTGAATGTGACAAAGGCTTTACCCAAAAAGGTAATCTTATGATTCATCAGATAGGTCACACACAAGAGAAATGTTATAAATGTAGTGAATGTGACAAATGCTTCACCCAGAAAGGCTATCTTAGTATTCATCAGAGAATTCATACAGGAGAAAAAGTTCACAGATGTAGTGAATGTAACAAGTGCTTTACCAAGAAATATCCTCTTATAATGCATCAGAGAATACATTCAGGAGAAAAACCTTACAAATGTAGTGAATGTGACAAAGGCTTTACCCAAAAAGGCAATCTTATTATTCATCAGAGAATTCATACCGGAGAGAAATGTTACAAATGTAGTGAATGTGACAAATGGTTTACTCTGAAAGACAATCTTATAATTCATCAGCGAATTCATACAGGAGAGAAACCTTACAAATGTAGTGAATGTGGAAAATACTTTGCCCATAAAAGCAGTCTTATTATTCATCAGAGAATTCATACAGGAGAGAAACCTTACCAATGTAGTGAATGTGAGAAATGCTTTATCCGCAAAAGCAGTCTTAATGTTCATCAGAGAGTTCATACAGGAGAGAAGCCTTTCAAATTAGTGAATGTGACAAATGCTTTTCCTACAAAGGTGAGTTAAAAAACATCAGCGAATTTACACAGGAGAAAGCAACATTACAAGTATGAACGTGACATATGATTTCCCCAAAAATGTAGTCTTCTTATTCATCAGAGAATTGATACAGAAGAGAAAATTTTCAAATGTTATGAATGTTTCAAATACTTTACCTGCAAAAGCAGTCTTAGAATACATCAGAGAATTCATGCAGGAGAAAACCCTTAAAAATATAATTAATGTGATTAATTCTTTTGCCAGAAACAATCTTAGCACTCATCAGAGAATGTGTAGAGTAGAGAAACTTAGCAAATGAAGTGAATGAGAAAAATCATGCCCAAGGGAGATCATCTTAGAGTTTATCAGAGAATATATACAAGAGTGTCCTTATAAATGTAGTTTATGTACAAATCTTTTACTGTTGGTTCATTAAAGAATGCTTACAGGAGAAAAACCTCAGACATGTAATGTATGAAGCTTTCATTTTCCCAAATCTCAGAACTAAGAAAATACCTGGAAATTTTTAGTTAGAAAAGTGTCCACTTGAAAAAAATGTGACATGTACTTTATTCAAGCTGTATTGTTTGTAATACTTGAGGCTCCACACTAAAGAATTGTTTATTGTGTATACGAGAAACTTGTGAAAGTGTTTAATTAATGTCTCCCACAAAAATGTACCAAACTCATTAATATTTTGGGTAGCATGGGTAAATGTACCAAACTCATTAATATTTTGGGTAGCAACATCTTTGAGGGTGGAATGAACCTCTCACAGGTGGGAAATACATGGCTCAAAGTAGAGTAAAACTGACAGCGTTCATATGCTTAACTCAAATTAAGATACGTAGACAAATTGTACTTCTTAAAAGTGGATTTGACAAACTAAGCAACAAATTTTGGATGTTCTTTATCCTATAGATATGCCTATGGATATGTGGTTTGCTTCCAGAGTCAGTATTCATAATCTGTATCATATGATGGTTTTAAATTTCAGGATAACAATTGTCATTGAGTCCCCCGGGGTCTTGTTTCCTAACTCCTTCCCCTGAGTCCTGTATCAAAATCCAATAAAGATCATTGGTTCAACAAGTTGAACTTGATTATTTTCAATTTCCACTTGGGATGAGTTGCATCTTCCCAGAAAAATGTCTCCCACAAAAAATGTACCAAACCCATTAATATTTTCTGCAAACTTGTAACATAAAATGAATATTAGAGCAATGTTTTTTAACCCATGGGTAGCAACATCTTTGAGGGTGGAATGAACCTCTCACGGGGGTTCATTTGCTTAAAACCATAAGAAAACACATATTTTCAGTGGTCTTAGGACTGAGATACCATTATTTTGTCTCCTTGTGCCTCTGCCTTCATAACTGAGCATTTCAGAATAGAGGGCACTGAGACCCAAATGCAGACAAGATTGATCTAGAGTCCATATTTTAACAGGATCAACAGTTGTAGAATTTGGAAGTACAGTTTTGTTCATTGTAACTTCTCCATCTGAGAAGAAACACTGTGATCCTGTTTGATATCAATACAGCCTTTGTAGAATTTATTTCTATGTGCAGACCTCAAATGTGTATTTTATATTCCCTACAAGCTTGCTGATTGTGAGACCATCATCACAATCATCCTATTTTCACAGAGATAGAAATACAAGATGACTTTTCTGGACAGAAGAGGACATTAGATCCCATTATAGATGGTTGTGAGCCACCATGTAGTTTCTGGAAATTGAACTCAAGACCTCTGGAAGAAGTCAGTGCTCTTAAATGCTGAACCATCTCTCCAGCCCCTATTTATTTGATTCGTTTTTTGTAGAGTGTGTGTGTGTGTGTGTGTGTGTGTGTGTGTGTGTGTGTGTTTGTAGCTCTGGCTGCCTTGGAACTTTCTCTGTAGACCAGGCTGGATTAGGACTCACAGAGATTTGCCAAGTCTGCCTACGAGGTACTGAGATTAGATTAAAGGCATGTGCCACAATGCCCAGCTCAAACTATTCCTTATTAAAATTAACTTTCTTTTATTTTATGTGTGCGAGTATATTTGCAATAATGTATTCATGAATGCTGTGCCTTCAGAATTCAGAAGAGAGCATTAGATCTGATAGAACTGGTGGTAGAATCTCTGGCTTAGCATGATGTAGGTGCTGGGAACCAAGTGTGAGTCCTATGGAAGAGCATCTAAGGCTCTTCTGAACCATCTCTGTAGCACCTCTAGAGAACTGATGTCATTAAATAATTACCTTGGTCCATGTCACAAAAATGTCTCTTAATTCATCAGGTCTAGTTCATTAGGAAATTTCCTTTTTCCTAAGAAAACATTTTTCCCCCAGCAGCACATGGAAAATATCTGAGCCTGCTTCCCTGTCCTAGCTCAAATGTCATTTTCATGCCTGAATCCCACTTCTTTGTTCTAACCTAAGGTTTATATTCCTGCCTGTAATTACTTCTTTGTTCTAGCCTAAGACTTAGATTCCTTCCTGAAAGTACTTCTTTGTTCTAGCCTAGGATTTCGATTCCCACCTGAGGCCCATTTCCTAATCCTTGGCCAATATCAGATTCCTGCCAGCCAGCCCCCAAATCTCTCCACATCTCCCCCCTTTTTATTGCATAAACAAGATTGAGCCTGTCTTCTCATAATGACTTCCTTACCGATCTTGGAATATGCATTATCAAAGGAGTGTACTTCTGTCTTAGGTTGGTAAGGCTCTGTGCAAAATCTTCCCCCCCCCCCCTTGGCTTGCCAGTCTGTTAAATTAATAACTCTGTCTGGGGGTCCATTTTCAGTTTCAAGTCATGTACTTTGGCTCCAACATGTTGATGTTGCTAAAGACAAGCTTTAACACAACGGGCAGGCATATTTCCTGGACAAAAAGGGATAGCATGATCAAGCTATATATGCCATTCTTGAAGCAATAAGGCTCTTTTAATTGTCAAGTTAAAATTACTTTTGTCTCTTCTACAATATTTATTGTAAGTCGCATTGATTGTGTACTTCCTAATTGTATTAGTATGTTGAAACCTGGCATGTCTGTTATGGGGGTCTATCAACCAGCTTTTGTCTTACTGCCCTGAGTATTATAGAACCTTGGTTTTATGAAAAATGCTTTCAAGTACTGGAAGAAGTGAGTTAGGCTTTAAGCAGAAGCAAAAGGGTAGTTTGCTTGATCATTGCTGGTATAACAGCTTTAATTACAGTAATTGCTAACACCACTGCTTCTGCAATTGTTTTGACACAAGAAGACAGCTACTTTTGTTATTCATTTAGCAAAAATGTTACTAATGTGTTGAGTATACAAGAGAATTTAGATAGGCATTTGGAACAGAAACACCCTATGACATTCTCCCCCCCAACCCCCAACTGCTGCTTCTATGAGGATGTGTACCTACTGACCTACCTGTTCCCAACTCCCTGCCTTTGAATTACCCCACAATGGGACATGCAGCCTTCACAGGACCAAGGACCTCCTCTCTCACCTATGCCTGACAAGGCCATTCTCCCCTACATATACAGCTGGAGCCATGGGTACTACCCTGTGTGCTCCCAGGTTGGTGGTTTAGAACCTGGGAGCTCTGGTTGGTTGGTATTATTGCTCTCCCCATGGGGCTGAAAACCCCTTCAGCTCCTTGAGTCTTTTCTCTAACTTCTCCATGGGAACTCAATGATCAGTTTAATGATTGGCTGCCAGCATCCACCTCTTTTAATATCATGCTCTGGCAGTCCTCTAAGGAGATAGCCATATTAGGCTCCTGTCAGCATGCATTTCCTGGCATCCACCTAGATTCCCCTTCTTTTCCTTGCTTGATCCTTTTTGATGGGGCAGACTCCTAGCTGATCTGTTCCCATGAAGACAACATATCTTGACCTGTCCTAGAGGAAACACTGCACTCAGAGCAGTGGGTAAAAACCTTCTCCCAAACCAGAAGCCCCAGAGCTGCAGTTGGAAGCCCAGCTCACTCAGGAATCATCAACCACCAAAACCCCTCTCTCCCAAATACCACTCCCCTTCTGCCCCCTCTGCTTGACCCTTATTGCTGAGGTTGATTCCTAACTGGTCTGCTCCTGTGAAGACACCATATCCTGACCCATCTTAGAGGAACCACTGTACTCAGAACAGCGGAAAATCCGCTGCACTCAGAGCAGTTGAGAGAGCTGGACTCCCAGAAACTCAAACTTAACAAGGATCAGAGTTCTGCACCCGATCCCACAACACCCAGAGGGAGCTGGGCTCCCAGAAACTCTAACATGTCCAGGATCATAGGATTTCAGGATCACAGAGGCAGCCTGAGTTCCAAGAGTTCTTCCACCCAGGATCTCAGGATCACAGGATCACAGAGACAGCTGGACTCTGAGGAGTTCTGACACAAACAAGATAACAGGAGAGATAGGCTCCAGTCAGTGAGAGTGAGTGCAGGTAGCACTAGATATAACCAGATTGTGAAAGGAAAGCATAAGAACATAAGCAACAGAAATCAAGGTTATCTGACATCATCAGAACCCAATTCTCCCACCATAGCAAGTCCTGGACACCCCAGCACACTCTAAAAGCAGGATTCAGGTTTAAAATCAGTTCTTATGATGATGATAGAGGACTTTAAGAAGGTCATAATTAACTTCCTTAAAGAAATACAAGAGTATACAGGTAAACAGGTAGAAGCCCTTAAAGAGGAAAGACAAAACAGCCCTTAAAGAATTGCAAGAAAACACAACCCAACAAGTGAAAGAATTAAATGGAACCATCCAGGATCTAAAAATGGAAGTAGAAACAATAAAGAAATCTCAAAGTGAGACTACCCTGGAGATAGAAAACCTAGGAAAGAGATCAGAGTCATGGATGCAAGCATCACCAACAGAATACAAGAGATAGAAGAGAGAATCTCAGGTGCAGAAGATACCATGGGAAACATTCACACAACTGTCAAAGAAAATGCAAAATGCAAAAAGCTACTAACCCAAAACATCCAGGAAATCCAGGACACAATGAGAAGACCAAACCTAAGGATAATAGGTATAGATAAGTGTGAAGATTCTCAAGTTAAAGGGCCAGTAAATATCTTCAACAAAATTATAGAAGAAAACTTCCCTAACCTAAAGAAAGAGGATGTTGTTTTAATAAATAAAAAGAAATGAGTTCAATATTTATATGTAGAAACTCAATGAAAATCACGTCTAATCTACCAGGCTGAACCTTTCATAATTATTTCACCATATGTGAAATAATGGACAATTGCCAGGATAATAGTATTTTTTAATCGCTATTTGTCTATTTATTTATTTATTTATTTATTTATTTATTTATTTATTTATTTATTTTATGTGCATTGGCGTTTGCCTGCATGTATGTCTGTGTGAGGGTATCAGAGCCCTTTAAACTAGAGTTACAAATAATTGTAAGCTGCCACACAGATGCTGCGAAGTGAACCAGGATACTTGGGAAAAGCATCTCAACCTCTGAGCCATCTCTTCAGCCCGTGGACACTTAATCTTTAAGCAGTTAGTAAAACTGCAGTTGTTTCCTTAGGAATTTTTTTCAAGAGCACATAAACCTTGTAAAATTTAATTTTATTCCATGTTTTCTTTTGACATCACAAGCAATATAAATATAGCAGAAATTATATGGTACTTTTTCTTGATTTTCGATAATTTAGGTAGCTTTAATTACAAAGGCTTAGTCAATGCTTTTTTGACTGTGTTTCTGTACATACTACCAGTGTGATCCAACTGAATACCCAGATTTTGATTTCTTTCTATGAAGAAATATTTGTATTAAAGTATGGATAAATTTAGGTGCAAGTCACTCTACAGGATGAGGCATGTCTTGTGTGTATCTGCTAAAAATATATAAAGTATAATTAAAGATTAACCCACAGATATAAATAAATTCACCAGAGGTGTCATGGTAGTGTCTTAGTTGCTCCTGTATTACAGTGTAGAAACACCATGACCACAAAACCTCTTATAAAAGAGACTACTTACCTGAGGCCTTGCTTTCAGTTTCAAAGAAATAATCCAACATTGTCATTCCAGTAATTAAGGTAGCACACAGATAGGCATGACGCTGGAGACATAGCTCAGAACTTTGTGTCCTGATC